GGTGAAACCGCGTTATATCGAACTTGCTTTGATCCGCCGGAGTGCGCACAGATTCTGTAGACAGTAGGACTCTTTTTCTAATCCTTTTACAATATGTTTTAAAGAGTTTTTACTTTATTACTTCGAAGAGTTTTTCCCTTGTTGAACAAGTTACTTTTAGAAGTATAATTTTCATCTTCCTCCTCCAAGTCTTTTCCTGAAAGGATCTCAACAGAGAAACACATCCCCATTTTATAGGTGCAGACACTGGCACAAAGGTTAAGACTTTCCACAGGTCACAGTGAGTCAACAGCAGAGCCAGGAATAGAAAATAGCCCAGGGCACTTTCACTTTTGTTATGTTAGTTTGACTTCTGAAATTTAGCTCCCGCCCCCAGCAAAAAAAACACCCACCACACACACTGTATGAAATAAGACAGGTTTCAGAGTAGCAGCCGTGTTAGTCTGTATCCGCAAAAAGAACAGGAGTATCTATCTCCCCTTGTAAGTATTCTCATACTTCTTATCAAACTGTCTGGACTGGGCTAGCTTGATTATCACTTCAAAAGTTTTTTTCTCTTACTTAATTGGCCTCTCAGAGTTGGTAAGACAACTCCCACCTGTTCATGCTCTCTGTATGTGTGTATATATATCTCCTCAATATATGTTCCACTCTATATGCATCCGAAGAAGTGGGCTGTAGTCCACGAAAGCTTATGCTCTAATAAATGTGTTAGTCTCCAAGGTGCCACAAGTACTCCTGTTCTTTTTGTGAAATAATACAGAACACCAGGCTTACTGAAGGTGAAGAAAGGTTTGCAAAGCCTTAGCAAATGTGCCACCTTCCACAGTGTGCTAAGAGCTCTTTGGCATAAATTCATGTCAATGATCTCTGCACAAAAAAGGATGACAACATACTTAATGGAAATCCAGGGCAGTTAAAGCAGGGCCGATGATGTCATGGTAGAGAGAGAAGATGCAAATTGGGTGGATGGACAAATAACTCAAAGCAAATTGTTACATTCCCGCCAACATTTGAGATCTGTGAATGGAAACATTTGATAGGTATCACACTGAGTAGGTTATCACAACTGTCCTCCAAACCGTATCCCAAAGGTTCCCAACGCATCTAAGTGAAATCAATAAAAACAACAAGGAGTCCAGTGGCACCTTAAAGACTAACACATTTATTTGGGCATAAGCTTTTGGGGTTTTTTACCCATTAAATCTTAGGCCCAAATAAATCTGTTAGTCTTTAAAGTGCCACCAGACTCCTGGTTGTTTTTGTGGATACAGACGAACACGGTTACCCCCTGATACTGAAATCAATGGAAGTTAGTGGCTTCATATTATTAGGCAAAATTGGTTTCAACTGAAACAAACAAGTATATTATCTCTTCCTTTTCCTAAAGGGAACCAAATTTATGTGATTTTCTTATAAGACA